CAACAAATATAATATTCAGCGTTGAATAAGATAGCATGACCAAAAATTTGCATGCAACAATCTAAAGGATTCTCAGTTTGTTCTTGACTTGTCTTAGATTCAGGTAGCCAATGTGGTCCAAGTTTCTGAACATGATTTACAGAACGTCATTTCCTTAAACTTGGTCTTTACCATTTGCAACACTTCCATGTCAGTCCCATTCTTTGGCAGAATATTGTAGTTTTGCCCTTTTAGTAGTCTTTTTACATGGTCTATTGTGGCCTCTCTCTCTCTCTCTAAAGTTCCATCACTCCCTCCCCTTGTCCCCAGTCTGATACTAGTGCTTTTTAGAGGCAAAGGAAAGAAGAAAATGGAGAAATAGAACAGAAAGGTCTTTCCTTTACCTTTGCCTCAGGAGACTAAATTGGGAAAAGGAAAACAAGTTAGTGCTTTAGCATTTCAATAAAGAATGGCCCAAGATGAATGCTAATATGTTTCTTCAAAACTAACAGTCTTCGTAAACATGTCCCTTCTGTTTCTGAATGCTAATTCATCTTCTTAACTGCCAGCTACCTCTATCTTCCATAATTGTATGGAGATTAATTAATTTAGTGATAAACAATGCATGGAGGTATTATATGAAGACAATGCACACGCTTGAGGAAAACTTTTATGCCTATGCTACAGCTGTGGTTCTAGAACTCTGGTTTAAAAAGAACAGGTAAGCATCATTACCTGCCACCAGGCAGGCCCTGGTACTGTGAACTGGAAAAAGTTTCGAGCACTACAAACAATTGACCGGTCTTCCCAGGAGCCATTGGTACATTGAAGGAACAAATCCATATTACCCATTTTTGATCACCCACAATTGGAAGACTGGTGTCAATCTCAATTCTGGAAAATGACAGCAGAAGAACAGATAAATGGCAGCTGAAAATAATGCGCTTTCATATCCTCATACCGGCAGTAACATGCACAAGGGCCACGCACGACCAAATACAAATTGCAGTAATACTAAGTGCTGTGGTGATAATGAGTTCGTAGTGCCTCATCTGAATAATTTTTTGATATTTCAGGTAACGAGAAATCCTAGCGCCTCAGTGGCAGATTGGCGGATAGGCACTCTTAGGAGAAAACCTTTGTCTCCTAAGACATACACATAATTCTGAAATCTCAGCCTAAAAGGATTCTATGTGTAGGGGACCCAAAAATCAGTTAGGCTGCATATGAAAGTTCAGCTATTTAGACGAGAGTCATGAGCTTACTTATTCATATAGTAACAGGGTGCAACAAATTGAGCACTGATTATGGGATTATCATCATTTGCACCAGCAAAACCCCAAGGCCCAGAAGACTTCATCTTGAATGTCAAGGGTTTGGCTCTGTCCCTCCTCCCAGTAACCTGAAAAATGATTTCAGCACATAGGGTGATAGAGATTCTCGTGATATGTTACAAGTAATGCCAGAATATATTTGTTAGTGAAGTGGGTCTGAAAGTAGTATAGAATGACAAGCATACACACACACACACACACACATATATATATTTCTACAGTAACATTCACCAAAGGTATCACTGAAAATGCTTCTTAATCAGTGATCATCCATCAAAATGTTTAAGCAATCAAACAACAAGAGGCACCAATTTCAGTGCACGGATCCTCTATCTACCATTCTACTTAGATATATTTCTTATGCCAAAGACGCTCAGGACAATATGAATAATGACCTCACAAATTTGTCAACAAATGAAGAACTGTACCACAGCTATGATAAATTGAAAATCAAAGCATTATATTGCAACTAAAGGGCCAATAAGAAGAAAAAATACTTTGACATCTTTAAAAACTAGCTCATAGATTGACATTTCTCTTGACCATGACAGTAGATGTAGATGACAGATATGAATGACATTTAACATCAGAAAAATGCTTGCAGGATTCAGTATTTTTACTAAACTCCAAGGTAAGTTCTTCATAGCCATGCATTAAGAAGAAATTAGACTCATTATCAAAGTTGCTGATGAAGCCTGAAACTAAGGCAGTAACATGTTATGGATTGCAATTTCCGTTTCCTTGAGAAATATATACATCATATGTCAATAGTATCCTATATCGAGCTACATAACTTTGATTGACAAGTGTTTCAAGTAAGATTCAGTCATGCAACACCTAAATCTGTAAGGGTGCAAGATGGGTGCTTGAAGACTGTTGTTTTGGCAGAGAAGAGTGAAAACCATACACTGACACTGATGATTCTTGGATGTCTGTGAATCTGATACATTGAACTGAAGAGAATCATCTTAAGATGCCACTAATTTGGTTTAGCATAGTCAGAAGGCCATTAAGCACGGTATGTAGGAAACTAGTTAGTCAAACTAGGGCTTCATCTTATAAACATCAGTGAAGCTCCTGTAAGTATTTCTTAGCTGATGAATCCGTCAGTTCTCTGATATTACTCATAAGTTAAAGAAATAATTGCTGAAGTCAACGATAAGCACCTTATGGTGTGCAAAATCAATGTGGGAAGGATCAGAAACATTCTCCATGAGAGTATCATAGCCATAGAACAAATCACGCTGAATTGTCACCGTTGCAAACTCAGGTTTATCAAAATCAGCCGGCAACCTATACAAACCATGACCAATTAAAAAATGAGAACACGGAATAAATTATGCAAACTCTAATCCACAACGTACCCAGCAAACTGCAGTACACAAATTTTATTATATTAGTCAATCCATGTGGCTATTCGTTAGAATATTTAATAACCTAAACAAACGTATACTGCTAATATGCATATAAATGCAGTGTCGAGACAGGGCCTTACATGGGGGGCTTAGTGGCACTAGCTCTGTCCCACCCATTCTCATCAGGCCAAACGAAGAGAAGTCCTTGAGAGACCAAAGTAGGGAACCTAGTAGCACAAGCTTTAGGAGACTTCACTGCCCGAGCCTCAGGACCCTCTGATGCAGCCTGAGGGATCCTTGTACATGACCCGCAACCATCAAAGGACCATCCATGATAGGAGCACTGCAAGTGCCCATTCTCATCTAACCTCCCTTCCTACAACCAAACAAACAAAATCCTCAAGTACTCAAACATCATAAAAATCTAAAATTTCGCCACAATTGATCCTCAAAAAGCTGACTTTTCATAAAATTTCAACTTACAGATAGAGGGGCTAGGCGATGTGGGCATTTGTCATCAAAAGCAACCCACTGGGAATTGGATTGATCGAACCAGAGCACAAGGTCACGATTGAGGAGTTGAAATGGAGTAGGCACACTTGAGTCGAGGTCCTCCACAAGAGAGACAGGATACCAGTGGTCTCTCCAGGAGAATTTTGTAGAAGAATCCTCTTCTGAATCTTGGGTTTCAAGTCCAATTCCGGTTTCTTGACCCCGGGCTTCTTCTATTTCGTCTTCTTGGGGAGACGTTATTGCTGGGTTTGGTGGAGCTGCAACTTTTAAAGGTGGAAGAAACCTCCCCTTTTTACCATGAAACACAGGCTTATTTAGGATTGGATATAAAGATGTACGGGAAGGTTGACAGCTCCTGGTGGCAGAAGGAACTGTGGAAAATGGTGCTGGGAAAAGGAGTAAAGAATCCATTCTTTATTCTGGTTGGTTAATTAACTCGCTCAAAGAGTCCTAAATACAGAAAATTTGTATGCGGGTTTGGAAATGGTTGAAAGCACTGCCCAGTGTGCTACGGGGGATGACTAAGAAAGGCCAAGGAAGGAGCCTTTGCGTGCAAGGCTTTTTTTTCATCAGTGATGATGAGTATTCTAGAACCATATGCTTTTTCTCCAGAAGGAGAATTGCAAAATGTGGTTTACAGAGATGGCATTGATTCAACTGTTTCAACGGTTTTACACATGCACCGCAGAATTCACTGCCAACCCCTCCTAACTGGATAATTGTTTTTGGCCATTTTCTAACGCGCCTGATTTTGGTAAATTAGGTGTAAGATGTGAAAAGGGCCAGAGTTGCATCCGCAAGCAGCCATCTCGACCCAGGATTTAGCCATCTGCGAGTTCGAATTGTCCTTTTCCCTCGTGGTTTCATAAATTTTATCCTTCTCTTGTTATTAAAAAATAATAATAATAAAAGCATCTGGTATGAGTGGCTGTGTCAATTTTTTTTTTTTTTTGGTTTCAACACAGGTAGGCAGGGGTGTAAATTGACCCAGTTATTAATTTTGGATTTGCGAGTAATTTGGTCAAAAGGTTGATTTAAATGTGGAATTGATCACTTGATAAAAAAAAAATGTGGAATTGATCAAGTTCAATCAATTTGATAAAATAATCGAGTCGAGTTTGAATAAAAAAAACTCGAGTATTCTTCCCATAATATTATTTTTAACCATTTGTTGTAGAATTCCGAAATTTTATTTTAACTCTCAACTAATTTCTCGAATTTTAGGTGGGATGACGATTGTAATTACTTCTATCTCTCGGGAAACAATGACAGACCGAGAGTCTCATCAATAATGTTAAACTGACTTAGTAAGAAGTAAATAAAATTATCAAATTTGTACTTTTATCTTTATAGTAAACTATAGATGTTAATTTTTGTATGATTTTTCTTCTTTGTAGCTGTGGTGATAAACGTGTTTCATCACGTATGGTTTGTTTACAATCATATTGTATAGCAATTGGCCACAAATTTGTCACATCAATGTGTTTAGTTGTGTTTGGATTGCATTTTTTAGAATTTTTTATAAAAAAAATTATTGTAACGATTTGATGTATGTGAGAAAAAAATGTAATAGAAAAATATGATCACGAAAAACGACGCAATTTTCCGGCAAAAAATGGCTATCCAAACAAGGCATTTTATCATAATTTGCTCACCGTCATAAAGTCTAATTAAATTATAAAGCTAAAGGCATTACAAATTTTTTTCATTTTTTTAAAAATCTTCCAGGCAAAGAGAAATTGGTTGGACCTTATTTTTAAAAAATGATCTTTTTTTAGTTTTACTCTAAAAATTTTAAATTGTGTTAGTAAACACTAAATAGTAAATACTCACCAATCACCATTTTATTACAAGATCGTACAAGTAAGTCTAAAGGCGACAAATAATTATCAACAGAATCCATAATGTGGTCAATTTGCTCCCCACTTCCAAGATTCTGGTGACACAGAGACAGAAGAAGGCCCCTTAATAAATGTATACATCTTGCAAAAATGCAAATACATTTCTCCATCAATGGAAGAAGTAGCCTTTTCATCACCTGAAAATAACAGCTTTCTACTCAAAATAGTAAAAGGCCCACAAAACATATTATTTCTTCGGGTAAGATTGATGATCAGGTCCAATGTCGCGCGATCCGGTGTTGATATACGGTCCACGGAAGGTTGCCTGAGGTGGTAGAGGCTTTGATGAATCAATAACAGGTTTCATCTTCGATGATCTAGATCTGGGTATGAAACAGGAATACAGGTCAACCAGCAAATCAGCAGCAGAATTAGCTAGTATTACTCATACTGCAAAAGCGATTTTCTTGGTATTTACAACATGTTAATTTTCTTATATAGGCAGTGATATTTCTTACGCCATGAAAAAGGGAAATGCTAATCCTGCAGCAGCAAAAACCACTAGGCCTGTAGCAACAACGGCATTTCGCTTCCGGGACATCAAGGTTGCAGAAGTGAAAAAGAGCAACCTGCAAAGAAACAAGAAAATACCAAAGCAATAACTAACTTTGGTAAGGTTCTAAAAAGTGAGAAACATGCATAAACAGGTCAACTAGCAAATCCCGTCCTCAATGAATTGCATAAAACCTTCAAAATTTTCAGGGTATAAAGTTTGTGCCGCAAATCTAGAGGCAAATTGATGAACCAAAACTTGAGGATCTCACCTAGGGGTACAACATCTTTCGAGTCACCATGGTTATTTTTGCTTTCTATCCTAGAATATTTGAAGCTATTAGCAAAAGAACACTAACAAAGCAAATTGCTCCCAGACTGAAATTAAAAAGATCTGCAGTTCAAAGAAAGTAGCTGTAAGATGAACAAGAAAGTTTGAGGTCATGTCAATGCAAAGATATTTCAGGAACTATACTGCAGTCTATTTATGTAAGGGGAACAAGAAAGTTAAGAGGCTACATCAATGCAAAGATGTTACCATGATGCCATTATTCCATTGAAATGGAGACTCAAGGGCGTACTTCAACATGATTGTCAAACAAATACAGCACAGAACTCCATCAAATGGCAGTTTGTACACATAACTATTTGCCCTTGACCAGACAAGCACAAGGGAATAACAGAGACAAAAGCAAAAAGAGGCAAAACATAAGAAAAGGGCACCCCGGAAAACTCAAAATGACTCTGATTTCTGTAAATCTAGCAAACTTAAAAGAGTGTTCGTGGTTAAGACAATAACTCGTGAACCTTAGTATCAAATTCTCCAAGTAAAATTAATGCTCGATATTATCTACGATCATCCAAATACACATACCAACAGAATTGACAGATAATGCACACAAAAAAAAAGGGCAACTCAAAATGGTATTTCCACCTAGCAAACATCCCTTAAAAGGGTACATGATAAAAATAGTGTACTAAATGTAAGTAAAAGAACAGACTGCCATCTTTCATCAGATATGCTTGTTGCCTATAACTACCATTATTTGCAATCTTATTGGACAGAGCAAAATAACTAGCGGAACCTAGTTATCAGGAAATGTCAGATCACATCCGATCAAAGCTGCATTTATCCAACATAAAGTAGCTAGAAACACGGATTGACGCTACAGCAAGCGAAAAACCATGATCCCAACAACAACCATCATCAGACGCAGCAACAGACAATAAAAATTTCCTATCCAGAAACCATCTGTCTCCTTCAGCAAGACCCTCGTTCTAGTGCCCACATTTAAACATCTTCAATAAGGTCTAATGTCTTAAGGTTCTAATAGTAATCGACATCATGTTGGGAGGAACTACTAGTTCCCTTAGCAACAGTCAAAAACCACCCACTGAAAATGAAAAGCAAACGGGAAAAGCCAATCAGGAGCTAGCTAGCTATTCACGACATCCCTGTATCCCTAATTTCAATTATTACCTTCAACAATTTCGTTTGGATCAACTAGAAGAAATCATTACATTCAATTACGCTATGAAAAATCCAGATTTTCGATATATTTTGTTTTGCAAAGATTAATTTACCTGGAAACTTAATTGGAGTTAGAATCGAAGGTGTTGAATGACGTCGTTTCGCCGGTGACGGTCGCTAGGACTCAGCCGCTGTCAAAATCTTGAATCCACATTCCTTATTGTTAAATGTTTGGGGCCCGATTAACAAGAATTGCTCCCTCGCCTCTTTGACCCGACCCACCCAAATATTCCAACGTTTCCTCGTCTCCTTTTGCCAGCCTTTTATTTACTTATTTTTTTCCTCTGGCTTTTGCCAACCGCATTTAACAAATTTGTAGGCGTCAGAAGAGGTGCTATCGAGCCGAGTCGAGCTCGAGCTCGATCAAAATTTATGCTACTCGAGCTCGAGCTCGATCGAGTAAAAAAATTTGGACTCGAGCTCGACTCGATGAAATAAAACTAAACTCGAGCTCGAGTAAATATCAAGCCCGAGCTACTCGAGCTCGAGCTCGAGTTTTGAAATAAATCTATAATTTTTTTTAAAATATATAATATATAATATAAATAAAATATGAAAGCTCGATTAAGCTCGACGAGCACTCGAGTATTTATTTCTTAAGCTCGAACTCGACTCGTTAAATTTAACGAGTAGCTCGAGCTCGAGTCAAGCTTTTGATCAAGCTGCTCGTAAGTTGACTTGCTAGCACCCCTAGGCGTCAGCTCGTTAAAGAGTTCTAATTAATAAAGGACAAAATTTTCTTGTTTTATTGTAGTTCCTTTGCTTGATTTTGTTGCAATCTGAATAATCATAATGACTGAATTTCATGACAAATATTCCATTTAAGTTCTGAACTTCTCGTGTTAAAAATATTTGTTTTTAATTTTACTATCTGGCCTAAGGTTATAAAAAATGCATCTGTTGTACTTTGTCTATTAAAAAGTATATTTGGCAAGCGGTTGTAAAAGAGATCGCATGAAAAAATGAATCTGATATTTTTTGCAGCAATTGACTTACTCCCTTAGTCTCGACTTTATTATAGCATCTTTTTTTTTTCCCCTCTTTTGTGGTGAAAACTGGCACCTAATTATTTCGCAATCTATTACCATTCCGAAAAATGGCACTTACCGTATGTTTTGCCATAAACATACCCAGGCATATCAGTTGATTCCATCCAGCAGAAATAAGGTAAAACCAACCACCGATTCTACACAAGAAATCACAATAGTCTACCCAAATTAAAGGAATCCCAATCCTATATATTTTCGGTTAAAAACAAATTAAAAGAATTCCAATCCGATGTGTTTGCGGGTTAAGAATAGCTCATTTGGAGGTCGAGTGTATTCAACATTCCTTTGCATCAGCAACCAAACAGAGGAAGAAAAGCACAACAAAAGCAGAGTAAGACAACAAGAGCAAATGAAGGTATAACAACTATTGTATTGCAGGAAAAGTATCCAACTGCAGCTTCTTGCTAGAGCACTTTCTTAACGCCCATGGAATTCAGAAAAATCTATCAGGCCTGTTTTTGTTTAATCACCATCGAAGTGGATACATTACAAAGTCTCTTCAACAAAGAAGTTAAATATAATAGTTCTCCGTGAAGATTTTTGGACCCAAACCCCAAAAATGCAAGTGCTAATGTAAGGTAAATAGTAATAGAGAACCTTTTGGACCTATCCATCTGTGCACACAAATGAATTTACACTCAAAGGAGAAAAAAATTCAACTGACCAAAAAGACAAAGCATGTTATGATAGATCAACAGAGGAACAACACCAGAAAACACAAAAACACGACAAAGCAACAACGCACCACAGTTCAGCGAAGCCCCAATGGGTTTGTGGTGACTGGTGTCATCCAAAGTACGCAAAGCAGTACATTTGGAATCAAACTTCAGTACAACATCCAAATACCAGTATTAAGTACTTTCCAACTACTAAAGATGTTAACCAAAAAAAGAAAGACGTTAAAGACATTAAAACGAGGTTTCAACATCCAAGAATCCACATTTAAGAGTATAAAGTAATACTACTAGAGTTTACATTTCCAACATGTCTAAACAACTTCTGGAACAACACAGTAAGAAGATGATAGCATTTTATATAGCCATAGGCTCATTTCTAGAGGAAATGAAGGCAAGTATTCAACGATGCAAAGGAACAACAGCAGCAGTTGTTCACTTAGCAACCACACCCTGCTGAGCCTGATTCTCCTGCTGCTGCTGATAGTTGAGTGGCCTCCTGAAGAGCATGATGTGTGGCTCTGGTCGGTGGATAGCGTAATGGACCCACCCTCGGCTCTGCTGGACCCCAATTGCCCTCCATTCATTCTAGTAGCAACACGAAATGGGGAAAAAAAGAAAGGAATTAGATACTAATCTTGATTGAAGTCCAGAAACCCGTAAAGCCATTCAATTTCAAACAAGCAATATAGAGACCAATAACAACAGAAACAACAGTATTAATGTCATTTGAGTAAAGCATAATTCTAAGACAGACTGCAACTTAACATCTTGATTCATCAGGAAAACCAACTGCTCCAAGTTCTGGGCTTTCATCAGCGAGTATAAGCTCAGAAATGTAAATATAATTTCCAAGTATACAACTGAATTGAGATTTGCATAGAAGCTTAGAGAGACGATTTTCAAATTCTCGTTATATAATGAATTAAAATTACAAAAAATATCATACTTCGATCTAGCATTAGGAGAACCTACATTTTCATCTCTGAAGTACAATCATTTTTCCCCATACCAAAAAGTTCACATAATTCATTTCCATAGATCGATTATTAATTTAAAAAACAAAAAAGAGCACCTAATTTATCGCAAGTGACTAACAGGGAAAATATGTAAAATTTTAGGGGGGAAAGGTAAACACCAAAACCCTAAGTTAATAAGTAAATATAGAAGCTAAACATAAAAACTTCATACTTCAGAGAGAAGCCGATTCTTGGGAAGCAACTTCGCCACTTCAGGAGGAAGAACCACATGCCTTAATTATCATCACAATAAAAAAAAAATCAATTCAGAAACTTCATTCATTTCTGAAAAAAAAAAATGGAACACATATAACGGATAATAATTACTTAAAAATGATTCTTCACCTGTACTCGTATGTATCATCGAAGTACTTCTCGGAATATTGGATCTGTCCCATTTTTCACTTTCCGATCGTCGGAAAACACAAAATCAACTGCTTAAATTGATCTATAAACCACAAAACAATTACTGAAGGCGGAAAAAACGAAAAAAAAAAGATAAATATGAAGCATAATTGGTTCAAATCGAGCATACCTTCCCGGGCGAGCGAGAACCAGAAATAAGAGAGGGAGAAAATGGATACGAAAATAGTGGGAAATAAGGAAAGTGTAGTAGAGACTAGAGAGTGAGAGACTGGATAGGTTTCTGCCTTTCTGATGGGTTGAGACTGGGAGGGCGGAATTGGGAATTTACGGATTAAGCAAATATATACTATTAATTTTTTTTGACACTATTTCAGGTAGGAAGAAAATTACAGAATATGATTTTGGAATTTGAATTTCAAATCTTAAAATGCTTTTCCCGCTCTGGTGCGTGCTTTTTGTGTGTGGTTTGTGTGCTTGTTACAGTGCTGAATAAACCAACCCACCACAAGGATGAAGGAAAGGCAATGTTTCGGAAGGTTGATGGTCAAAATTTGATTAAAAAAATATACAAAATTTGATTAAAAAATATATGAAACTTATATTTTATCTTGTATATTATTTTTCATATTACGTGTGAGTTTTATAAAATTTTGTTCTATAATTATACATTGTGCAAAGTGAATTACATCATATGTAAATTGAGTTACATCTTGTGCATTTTACACAAAATCGTTCCGAACAATTTTTCTGATGACTGTTTGGACCCCTTGTTCCCACGACAACGTTTTAGCAGTAATTAGTGTCTTATAATTATAACAATTTCCTCAATTTGCTGCAACACTTGTTTGATTTCTAGCATTTTTTTCGAAGAAGATATTAGTAGCAGTAGTAGTATAACATTTGTTTCCTACAAAACAACACAACTTGCGCAATCAATAATAGTTTTTACATCTATTATGGTATAAGCTCAAATCAGAACAAATTATGGGTTTGTTTGGATTGAGTATTATTTCCTCAATTTTATTTGCTTACATCATCATTATAATTTCCAATACACTTTTTTATCTTCCCAATTACCTTTTTATCTCACATACATCACGTCACGAAAAGTGCTGCAGTAAAAATATTCCAAATAACTTACAATCCAAATATGTCATACCCAAAATCTGTTCAAGCATTATGCAGATATTGCATCAAAAGAATTGACCGACAGGAACAAAAATCATATGATATATACATCTCCAGAGGTTTGGCAAAATTGGAGCTGATACAGCATGATCAAATGACTGTCAAAATTCTGAACTATTTGAAATCTTTCTCTGTTTCTTAATTTAAATATAAAGATTCCATAATCTAAACCTATAAACTATGTGCCTATCGACTATAGACATCATCACTGAAGTTTTTTTTTTTTTCCAACCCTGTTCGATTCTATACCAAAAAGTTCGCTAACGCAAATACAAACTACAGTTTCTGTATAGGAGCAGACTTGATACTGCTCCATTCTGTACATCTACCAAAATCAACTTTGAACTATTTACACTATCAAGGGCCCTGATAACTAAAACTGTCTTTACACAAAATCATACATTCTTCAGTCTGGAGAAATCCCAACCCTGGCCACGCTCCTATGCAGGACTGTCGTTCCTTGGAATATCATCATCTGATAGTCCTTTTTGAATTGCTTCAGCTGGGAGGCAAAAGATTACACAGTTAAATGAAATTTGAACTTTCTTTAACCAAAAGGAAAAGAATAGAACACAACAGCAGAAGAAGACATACCTGCTCCGCCCTTATCTTTTGAAAGCCAAATTTGTTCTTCCAAATGCATTCTGCTTCAGGGGCAGCAGGAAGCACCAGGTCCCTTACATTCAGAGACGCCAGCAGGTTTTCAATACAAAAAAATAGCGACTGAAAGTATCCCTGAAGAGACAAAAATTGAATTTATATCAATAGATCCACAAAAAAGACTTCAATGAAGTCAGCAGGCTATATGTGTAAAATTCACTAAATACTTCACTGAACTTGCCTTGCCTTGAAAGGCAGTACTCGTTGCAACTAGTGGGACTTCCGCCACGTCCTGTCCAAATACACGAAAGATTCCAGCAGACACCACTG